ACATCTAGTTACCATCAGGAACACACGGCTGGTCTCACATTTGTCTGAACTCACAGAACATGACTCTAGAGTGACTCTTGTTCTCACCAGTCATGCAGGTAACCAGTTGCATTCCCCCCACGTAGTTACATGCAACAACATGGTACGGGCTTTACAAAAACATCCATTCATTCATTTTTACATCTTTCCAAGACTACAGTGCAAATTACGCACCCTCTCCTTCCCATACCCATTGTTGCTATAAAACTTGCATTTTTTTTTTGTAACAGTTCAGGTGAGGATAGTTTATTAATGGATTCCATCATCATCACCAACCAGCTAAATGATTTAGCTGTATGGAATATAAGACAGGCCACTGCTTTTTCCCCCAGAATCGGCCCTTAAAAATGGAAGTGCTGAGGAACTTAAAGACTTCACTGTTTAGATATTGGCTTGGATTAATTGCAAACTCAGCAGCTGAGTTGTTTTACTGAATTTGCAGATTGCCTTTGAGTAAGCCCAGGTGCTTCTAAAGCTGCAGGCAAAAGGCGGAAGAGCCTGCTTAAAACTTGCCTGGAGCATACCTGAAGTACTCCCACTCTGCAAGACTGGACAAAGAAGTAGGTTGATGTTTATCAGAGTATTACATAAAAAGCTCCAGTCCATTTCAAGTGCAGGACAGCCCTTGCACGTGTATGCAGCGCTCGGTGTCTGAGGGTAGGCGCTGTCTTACCGTAACGCTGCGACTAGCACAAAGATGCTTCTCGGAGGCACGAGACTGATGCCCTAGGCTCCTCCATATGGCACCGTACAAAGAACTCTGAAAGTGTGAAGTCTTTGGGTTGGCTTCAGGCAGGAAACAAAGCAAAAAAAAAAAAAAATAGTATTTCAGAGTCTAAGGAACAGACTGTTATGCCTGTAATTATTCAGGTAAGGAGGTAATGCACCTTCTGTGGTGGCAGAACATAAAGACTTTGTGTGGAGTCAAGAAGGCCTCCCATGCCAAAACTGAGCAAGGAAGTAGAAAAATAGAGAGGAGGTAGTCTTGGTTTACAACCTGCACATCTAGATTTCAACTATTTTAACTTGTCCAGTGACTTACTAGACTAGGCAGGATCTAGTTTTTGTTCTTTTAAAGAGCTAAAGTTCTCTAAATAAAAGCATCAGCAATTAACTATTTTCACTTTTAATGTGTCCTTTTTGCTCAGATTGAAGTGATGCATGAAGCTAGTCAAGGAGGATCTAGCAGAGTCCTGGTGATGAGTGAAAGCGATGAGAACTTGTCAACAAGGAGGAGGTAAGGCTGCACGCATGACCCAGTATCAGTATTTTGTTTTTAGAATGCAAGTAACTGCATTTATTGTACATCTTCTACAACTTCTTCGAAGTTCACCAACGCTAACAAATAATTAGACACAATCAAGTCACTGAAACGCTTCCAGCCCCGCACTCATGCAGTCTATCAGCTGGAAAAGCAGGATTTATCTTCTGGCTTGGGTTGGAGGCTTGGGTGTTTTTTTGCAGTTTTTTATCTTAGAAGCACTAATTACATGACATGAGAAAATAAGTCATTAGAATAAGCCTTGCATTTATTTACAAAAAAAGCATCATCTCATTGTGTTCAGGATCATCTCATTACGTTCAGGGTGTTTGTGACTATATGGACCTGAGAAGCTTCTGGTTTTTTAAATGCAAGCAATGATCTTTTCTCCCTTTCTGCAAAGTCTTGAGAAAGAGATTACTAGTGATGTATTCAAAACCACCAAATACTTAAGTCATCCAGGTACCAAGCAAGCCCAGTTTAATTGGTTGAACTGCACTGTTTCTAGGCCAAAGGAAGCAATGTAAAAAGAAACACACACCACCACCCCCCCCCCCAAAAAATCCCAGCCACCAAACCCAAAGCACACGCAACAGAACCCACTCTGCACAAGCCAAACCCCACAATCCTGACTTCACTTCCCTTGTTCCCTTCTTCAGTGTGATTTAGGTAATTTACCCTTATGTTATGTCTCACACCTGCAGACACTGAAGTTACTTAATGCAAAAGACTACATTTCTAAACCCGCTCTCTCGATACATTATGCTGATGAGTTGGAGAGACATGCACAAATTTCACATTACTGTCTGAATTTAATCACACCCTATGAAAATACTATGACTGGTCTCCAAAGCATCAGCTCGCTCTCAAAAGGTGCAAAGTCTGAGCTGAACTAGAGCTCACAGAGATAGATACACATCTCGGGGGGGTGACTGCCCAAAGAGAACACACAGATTTGGAGTTAACATTAACAACACGTTAAGCCTCTAATATCTGGCAGTTTTACGCAACTTTAGACCTGGAAGCTTGCTAAACAAATTTCTAAGCTGTCTCTGTTCCTGGGAACACCAACTTTGTTCCACAAAAGGTTTGGTTCAAGGTAGAATAGAAAGGGAGCCGGGCAAGGGGGAAGCAGCGTGGAGCCCTCTCGTAAGAGGGAACTTGGCATTTAAAAGCATCAGAGCTGAGCCTGTCAGTTACAAAAAAGCAACGAGAGAGATTGTTTATTCAAAACAGATTTTACAAAACAATTGTCTTTTTGTGGTACAGAGCAAAGTTGAAGTTTAAGAATAAATATTGAATACTCCGTATAAAAATTAGTAGTATCAAAGGGAAACTGATGCAAACCAAACAAACAGGTAAAAACAATTTTAGCATTAAATATGCTGTGCAACAATGTCACACTCTTAACGAGGAGTGACCATTCAGGCTGGTACAGTTTTATTTGTAGAAGTAAAACCTGGCAGCCCTGCATTGGAGCACTGAGACTATTGTTAAAGAAGGTTCCAGATAAAGGAGTACAAATCTTAAGTCAGTGTTGAGAACCAGAAAATATGAAGTCTTCTAGCGTCTCCGTTTTGGAAAGGAGTGCCTTCATGCTTTCCTCTTTGTTCAACAAGCAACTTCACCGCAGCAAAAGAAAACGCATGCTACAAACATCAAGGCCCTTTTAAGATTAAGAAACAATCCAAACAAAACTCAAACCAGCTGTAAAACAAAGCATTTTCAATGGTCAAAAGTGACTTTCAGATAACGGCAAACTACATTTAAGCAGCGCTTTACATGTTAGCTAGGTCGTTATCCTACAGAAGTTTAAGCTACTTAAAACTTACTTTACCTTTGCTTGTATGGTGAATACAATAAATCCCAACACATAGTTATGCTGGAAAAAATTGTAGCCTCGATACTACGTTTTAGTTGCACACTGCATATTGAAGACCATCTTTCCC